TAGTGGGTAGTGAAATCAATCAAGTGTAGCAATTAAAAAAAAAAAAGTGTGAATGAAAGCAGCGGGCCTCGTGGGAGGGAAGGTAAAATGTGGCTTGAGGCTGGATAACCCTCTCCATTATCTCTGTCTTCTAGGGAGATGGCTGCCAGGTTTAAATTTTCAGATAATTTGTGCTCTATTGACAGTTAGATCTAAAGGGTTCAAATACATTCAAAGTATATGAGATTTGAATATATTTTCGTCAAAGTGTAAATTAGATATGAACAAGCAACAATGAAATTAATTTTACATATGCTTTCAATATAATTATATATTTCTAAGAAATTATACAAAAATATTAAGAATAAAGGGGGGATTGAAATTAGTGAATATCAAATTTTAAGTCGATGTTATTTAAATAAAGCTGAAAAAAATTTATTAAATTTTGAAACCGTAGTGAAATCTTTTAAGTATTTTATAAAAATAAAACTCAATTTCCAGAATTGGGATGAGGTTTAACATATGCTATATGTAGATCTACATGTATGCAAATTTAAGAGTAGTATCGACGGTATAATATTGCAAAATGTTTTTCTGTTGCCGATGCTTGTCCCAAAGACCTAGGTAACCAGGAATTGGAACAGAGGCTGAGTCCTACTGAGTAGGGATCCTTAAAGTGTCTGTGACACGGAAGGCCCTCTCCCCCAGAGCACAGGGCAGGAGGCCCTCTTATCCAAGTCTAGTTCAAGGTTACCAAGGGGCCTGCAAGTAGCCCAATCCATGGACGCTTTACCACTTTCCCTTCCTAGACTATAATTTGACTCTACCCACTTGTCGTCCCTTTTTGCATATCTCGACTCCCTTGGCTTCAATGGAAGCTTTGCTGCTGGCTTTCCTCCTGTTCCAACTCCTCCTTCTTGTACCTGAGGCCATCTCCCTGAGGGTCAGATCCCAGCTCACAGCTTGACCCACACTCTATCTATCCCTGCAACTGAGACTCCAGCTAAGACTGCTCTCCCCTGTTTTGCACATGTCCCTTTAGACGTCTCCCAACTTGTTCAAGACTGAACTCATTACTCCTCTCTCCTCTCTCCCCCACCACTTCCAATCTTCAGTATCCGATCTCGGTTGTTAAACCATCGAAAGCAGAAATCCAGGAGACCCCTCTCCTGCCCTGAGTTCAAACCATACATCCAGCTCCTTCACCACTTCTCCGGTCGGCTGCTGCCTTGCCCCTGGCGCCAGCCGCCTCCTGTCTGGACCGTGACTGTTTCCTTCCGGCCCCTCTCCCTGACGCGGTCTCAGTGCCCTCACACCTCCTGCTCATCATTCCTGAAAGAATCCAAGACGTAAATCAGTGCGAGTCCTTCTGCCTCTGCAGCTTTTACTACCGTTCGAGGAAAAGACCAAAGATCCTACCATGCGTTTGCCTAGCGTCTGAACCTATGAACGCCAAGAGCAACGTGGGTCACTTACTAGCCCAGGGATTCTAAACCAGACCCGGCCCGAGGGGCGGCGGTGGGAAGAAAAGCAGGAACTGTAGCAAAAAGCTCGGGCGGGCGGGCCCTGGTCTTGTTGGGAGACAGGGAAGAGAAGCTTGTCCACTTAGGATTCTCTCTCTCTCTCTTTTTTTTTAACACCTTTATGGGAGTATAATTGCTTTACGGTGGTGTGTTAGTTTCTGCTTTATAACAAAGTGAATCAGTTATACATATACATATATCCCCATATCTCCTTCCTCTTGCCTCTCCCTCCCACCCTCCCTAACCCACCCCTCTAGGTGGTCACAAAGCCCCGAGCTGATCTCCCTGTGCTATGCAGCTGCTTCCCACTAGCTATCTATTTTACATTTGGTATACCGTGTATATATGTCCATGCCACTCTCTCACTTTGTTCCAGCTTACCCTTCCCTCTCCCCGTGTCCTCATGTCCATTCTCTACATCTGCATCTTTATTCCTGTCGTGCACTTCGGCTTTCTCTTAATGAAAAAGCCAGAATCTTTTAGGAATGTTTTGCAGTCCCACTAAAGGTGGTAAGAAATAACCCTGAAACCACTTTGCAAACGAATCCACAAGCATTTGTACAAGACAAAATGCCAAAGTTCAAACTCTTCTAACACCGTCTTGTTTAGACCCAAACGTTCCAAGAAAAGACCATAATAATACTAACTCCCCAGGGACGCGTGAGGTAGGCCTGTACTAGCAACTCTGCCTATTTTACCAACTCTGCCCATTTCCTGTCCACACTGCTCTCAGACGGTGTCATGCTAAATCCTCCCTAACGCTCCCTTTTGATACACTTCTGAGACCGAAGGTGGTACTATCCTTCACTTAGCAAGTTTAATAAACCAGCTTTATATAATCAACAGACTCCTCTCGTGGTCTGGTATGTATGTGGGGAGACTTCTACAGACGGAAAATAGAAAATGGGCTGAATTTACAGGACTAAGGAACAATAAATGGAAAAGAATGACTTCAAGTGAAGTTAAGGAAGAATTTCGTGACAAGACCGGTAAACTGAAGGTATTCATGTTAGGGTGTTCCAAGAAAGGACATTTTAACGTTCCTTTATGTGTAGGGGGAATGTGGAGGCTGGGATGTGTGGGGCAACATTTCACAAAAGATCGACTCAATACCGAGCAAAACGAGAGTATACTGGACATGAGGGTCTCGGACATCGAAACAGGACGGCGGCGGTGAGAGCGCGGAATACTAACCTCTAAATCACCTGGTAAGGTGGTCGCTAATCAGGGGGCCCTGGGGTCCTACCGCAGCTTCCGGGGGTCACTCAGTGCCCTCCCTCCCAGGGCAGCTTGCCCGGGACACGCGGGCAGGTCGTCTCTTAAATAGAGGGCGCCTAATACATGTTGAGCGCTGATAGGCGGATTTCAGTAAGCGGAATGTGGTCTAAGGAATAGGCCCCTAGGCATTTGCTCGCCGGCAGTCACCCTTCACTCTCCCTTTCGGGAAGCGATAGGCCTTAGAGCTGGGGGCACTCCATCTAGAGGGCGGGTCTTGGTCTGGAGAACACCTTGCTGCCCTTGCATCAAAAGCTCTTTTTTTATCCTCATTTCCAAAACTAACTAACGCCCAACGTGGGGCTCGAACCCACGACCCTGAGATTAAGAGTCTCATGCTCTACCGACTGAGCTAGCCGGGCGACTACTGAGGGAGCTTTTTCCGTCACAAGGGACCAAGATTCACAAGCAAGGATGCAGGCACACTGCTAAACAACCGCAGAAGTATTATGGAGCGCCAACTGTGCGCCTGGCTCTGCCCTAATGACTAGGGCCGAGGGGTCCGAAGTCTACGCCCCCTCGACACGGAAGAGGTGGCCGTGCAGGCGTCCGGGGGGAAGAGCAAAGAGATTAGCTGAGGTAACGAGACCTGAATTTACGTTGGAGCACTTATTCAGAATATAGACTGCTACGGTACCGCCTCACGGCCAGTCTCCGAGAAACAGAAATAGAGATAAACACACACTTGTCCTTCATGTGACAGCCTTCACTCTCCGGGATGCCGGAGAGACGGTGACTAGGACCAAAAGTTGTTTCCGCCCGGTTTCGAACCGGGGACCTTTCGCGTGTGAGGCGAACGTGATAACCACTACACTACGGAAACACCCACAGCTACAGCACTTCTGATAATACCCTGAAATCTACACGTAGCCGGAAATGGCAGGGTTGAGAAACACCACAAATCCAGAGGAACAAGGGGCTCCCATCAGGGGCCGGCTGAACCGTATTCAGGTCTTGTGGCCCCATTTTTCTGTCACAGTAGCGCTCGCAGCTCCCGGCACGGCCTAGTACAGTTCACGCACGAGGATTCGTGGTTTTGGCGCGTTCGGACCACCACTTTAGAAAGCACGTCCATTTGGAGCTTCCCCAAGAGGCGGGAAGGGCCTCGAGATCAGGGTCAATTCTGCGTGCCCAGCCCTGGCATCGTGCAGCGTCCGACACTCGCTGGGGATTCTGTACATGGACACAGGTCCTGTAACTTTCCCCGCAGTTTTTGTTTTTTAATTTTTAATTGAGAGATATATATATATTTAAAGCATCAAATATTATTTCTATTGCACAAATAATCTATTTGGCAGAGTTGCTCTGAGTACCACAGCAGTATCTTTACTGATGCCGTTCTACATGCCCCCTAGGATTCTCTCAAGTAAAATCAATTCCGCAAACCCATTCTGAGTCCCTGCTCTTAGACTGCGACTCCACGAAGACAGACCTCGAGGTTTTCTGGGCGTGGAGCACGCGTGGTGCACAGCTCAGAAAGTGTTAAATGAATCGACAGCACTTGGGGAAATAAACTTTTTTTTTTTTCTTTAAGGCAATACATTGACATGGTTCAAAATTCAAAACACACATAAAGACATTTACGGAAAAGTGTCCTTCCTATCCTGGATCCTCAGACTTCCCAGAGAAACTAGTATTCTTCCAGAGATAGACGACGACGATGATAATAATGGGTAGCTAAAACTTGTATCTCACTTACCATGTGCTAAGCAACATTCTAATAGCTTTGCATTACATTAATTTCACTAAGCCCTCTGAGATAGGAACAACTGCCCTTACTTTATGAGTAAACACAAGACTATAAAGCTATTACATACATTTAACATCCTATTCCCCCCCCCACTTTTTACAGATATACTCTACACACTATTCAGCACCTTGCTTTTTTCACTTCAGAATACTGTACATTTTGAAGAGGATTCCCTTCTTATATCTAAAGTGTTCCAATGTGTGAATGTGCATGTCATGATTTGCAACCGTTCCTTTACTGATGGCAATTAGGAAAGTTCATCTAAACGATGCGATAGTGACCGACCGCAGTTTCTAAAATGGGTGTGGAAATGCCAACTACAGAGGGGAGGAGGAGGGGGAGGGTCTCCGGTCCCACCTCCACCGCACTTCTACAGGCCCCGCCCCCTAGTCTCGGAGGGACGCTCAGAGCCCTCAAACAACAAAGTCCTTCGCCTAGAAGGGCCGGAAGTACTTCAGGGCGCTCACCGACCGCCGCCCCTCCGCTTCCGGCATCGGCGGTGCGGAGTCCCTGCTGCAGTTCTCTGTGTCCGGTCGGTAGGATGGCGCCGGGCCGATGCGGTCATAGCACTGAGAGCAGACGGGCGCCAAGCCGTTCCACCGTCCCCCGAAGTTTATCCCCAGTGGCGGGCGATGGGGGAGGCCGAGCTTTCTGTTTCGTCTGCGTTCCCTGCTCCCTCGCATCACAGAGGCGTGCGCCTCTGTCTTTCTAGGTCTCCCGCCCTGTTCCCGAGTGCCTGCTAGAGCGTCTTCTCACCGTTTTCTGTCACCCAGGGGCCCGGGGCGGGTAAGGGTGGGGAGAGAGGTAGAAAGGGATGTAGCGTGACCGCGGATGGAACTCGCGAGCTTGGGTGGCTCGCAGCACCGGAAGTGTTGGGGGGACGGAAATGAGGGGGCGGAGCCAGGAAGTGAGGAGGGGCGGGGGTTTATGAGGAGGCCAAGGGAGCTTTGGGGTAGATTTGCACTCAGGGCCACCTGAGGGACTTGGGGGTAGCGCTCAGCTGTGTCCCCTCCCCTCTCAGGGACACGGTTGTTGTCTGGGAGTAGGGAACTCTGCGGAGGGGTGGGTTGTCGGGAGGACATTTCTCTGGCTGCGCTTGAGGCAAGGTGTGTAGAGGCAGGGCTGGGGGTGGGGCTGGGTCGTCAGGGCGTCTGAGAGGGAAGACCTCCCCCGCCCCCCACCCCCCACCCCCCCACCGCCCGTCTACACTGGCTGACTCTGGACACTAAGATGGCTGCCGTTGCCATGGCACCCAACCCTGTGCAGACCCTTCAGGAGGAGGCGGTGTGCGCCATCTGCCTCGATTACTTCACGGACCCTGTGTCCATCGGCTGCGGGCACAACTTCTGCCGAGTGTGTGTAACCCAGCTGTGGGGAGGGGAGGATGAAGAGGACAGGGACGAGTTAGACCGGGAGGAGGAGGAGGAGGACGGAGAGGAGGAGGAAGTGGAGGCTGTGGGGGCCGGTGGGGGGTGGGACACCCCCATGCGGGATGAAGACTATGAGGGTGACATGGAGGAGGAAGTCGAGGAGGAAGAGGAGGGTGTGTTCTGGACCAGTGGCATGGGCGGGTCCAACTGGGAAAACATGGACTATGTGTGGGAGGAGGAGGACGAGGAGGAAGACCTGGACTACTACTTGGGGAACGTGGAGGGGGACCTGAGGGGGGAGGATGAGGAGGATGAGGAGGAAGTGCTGGAGGAGGACGAGGAAGAGGAGCTAGATCCCGTCACCCCACTGCCCCCGCCTCCAGCACCTCGGAGGTGCTTCACCTGCCCCCAGTGCCGCAAGAGCTTTCCCAGGCGGAGCTTCCGCCCCAACCTGCAGCTGGCTAACATGGTCCAGGTGATTCGGCAGATGCACCCAGCCCCTGGTCGAGGGAGCCGTGGGAACGAGCAGGGCATTTGTCCCAAACACCAAGAAGCCCTGAAGCTCTTTTGCGAGGTGGATGAAGAAGCCATCTGTGTGGTGTGCCGAGAATCCAGGAGCCACAAACAGCACAGCGTGGTGCCATTGGAGGAGGTGGTGCAGGAGTACAAGGTGAGAGAAGTAGAAGATGGGAGTTTACTGGGGGTGGAGAGAAAGTAAGAGGAGCTGGGAAAAGGAAACATGTCTTCCCCCCCGCCCCCCCTCGAAGAACCTCATGTACTGTTGAGCTGATTCTCCTTACTTAAGCACTTACTGGCACCAGGATGGGTTAGAGTGAGAAGGATCCTGGACACAGACAAAGTAGACACAGTGAAGAAGACCAGGGAAGACTGGCTTCCTCAAAGGAGATCTGGCAAAATTGGTGATGCCATATCTCTGGGCTTTGTCACTGCTCTTTTACACTTCCACTGTCCCTAAGTAATAGGAATGCAAGTGACAAGCCCCTAGGGCTTTACTACCAGTCTCATTTAACTCTGGGTGACAATTGTATCCTTGACTAAAACCCCTAGCAATGGAAAGAACTTGGGGCTCAAATAAGAAGGGGCTCTGAGGGGCAGGAATGTAGTATTGACTACTCGTATCAGACCCATACGCTCCTCACTTGCTTTCTAAGACGTTCCCCACCCACTCCAAGGTACAGCTTGGTTCTCTCCGTGGATCTGCATCATTCTGGTGTCGTGGCCAGGGCTTCTTACCTTTCCTGGGAATTCAGAAAAAAAGGGAGAGGTTTTTAAGTCAGAAGACCTGGCTTTTAGTCTCTGAATGTCTTTGAACTTTAATTTCTTAGTATGTACCCCAGCACTGTACTAAGCACTTTTCATGGACTGTCTCATTTAAAACTGAGAACAATCCTGTGAGTTTGATATTTGTAGGGAGGTTTGTATTCCTCCCTTACAGATTGGGAAACAGAGATTTAAGTAATATACACAGGGCCACACAGCTACTAGTAACTGATGGACTTGGTTATGACCACCCCCCGCCCTGGCCTATACTGTTAACAGCGTCACCGCCGTTTGGATGTCTGTTGTTTGTTTGACTTTTCTGACATGTGACTTTTCTTGGAGTCTGATTCTAGTTTAGTTAATATCTTGCCTCCTACTTCTCATCCTGATTCTTTGGACACAGATAAAGGAGATTTGTGTGTGAGACAGCCAGTAGAAATAACATTATTTAGCAAAGGCCCAGATGGGTTTGTAGCAGTGGAACCGGGAGGAGAGGGTAGCTTCTTCTATGTAGTCTGCACAAAGCTTTTTTGTTTTATGACTTGCGTTTTCACACCTTCCCCTGATTCCTACAGTAACGTTATTTAGGTATTATTATCATTACCCCAGTTTTAGAGTGAGATGTCTAGAGCTTCTCAGCTGTGAGTGATACATACAGCTAATACAAACCTATACCCCTCATGACAAGTAACTATTCCTTGCACACAGTGATTGTCAAACGTGGCTGACTGTCCCAGTTATTAGTGGAGGTTTTCAGAAGTATAGTGCGCCCTACTGTTAGAGATTCTGAATCAGTGACAGGGAGAATATCTTTAGAAAGCCCAAGCTAGTATGGGAATCACTGAACTGGTAATACCGCCTGCCTTTTAGGCCCTACATTATTAGGGGAGACTGTGAGCTCCTTTTGTCCTTCCATTTTGTATCCCCTCAGTTTCTAGTTAATTGTACTCATCACACAATGTGCAGTCACTTTGTTAACTGGATCCCAGGGCAGAATATTCATGGGCATTCCACCCCTTCTCCACCCTTCCCTTGCAGAACTCTTCTGAAGAGCTTCTGAAACTGGATTTTAATTTATGTTAGCCATAGCTGTTGAATGCCAGGCCAGTAGAGCTGTGCAATTTGGAGAGGCCACATAGACACAAATAATCTGATCAGCAAATGCAAATACATAAGTTTCATTATGTCAAACTAATTTGAGTGACTCCCTTTCTAACGTACAGGGTATTTTACAGGCAGGGAGTTTCTTTTCAGGTATGTACACTAACTAGCATTAGCTTGGCACACTGTTGTTTTGTAGAGATATTTCCTTATTGAATAGGTAATAATGCATAAATGATGTATAAATAAAGCTTCAAAAAAGTTAAACGTTCTTGAAACTTTCTCTTAAATGGTACTCTATTTGGATTTGTGTGTATGAATTTTTTGTCAACAATTTAGGAAAGATTAAATGAGAACTTTATGCATCATGAATTCTGACTTAATAGAGTTGAAATTATTGTGGAGAAAAGTAGATAGTAATAGCAAAAGGCAAAATTTTGTGTATTTTATGTTATGGATTGATTGTAATTTTATTATGATTTTTTTCTTCGACCAGTTAACCTGTGCAACAACTACCTTTTGTGCTCTGGGACACTCACCTCTTTGGATCAAGGGTCATTATCAGGCTGTCATTGGCAGCTGAGGCTTGGGTAGGGAATTTTAGATAACATTTAGTACTGATCTTTTGCTCCATGCCAGACACTGTGCTAAGCATAGCACAGTTCCCTTTTTGAGATGAGGAAACTGGAAGCACGGCTTGCCTCGGGCTGCATTCAGGTTCAGATCAGAGTCTAGGCTTGAGCTCTTCTATGCTGTATTACCCCTCAAGGAAAAGGAGAAGGCATAGAAGGCAGAAGGAGGCATAAAAAAGGAAAGAGCACAAAAGTCGGGCTTATCTCATCCATTCTAGTCTAACAGCCCTTTTAAAGCAAAAGATTCTGCTACAGATGATTAGAACACAGGGCTCAAGAGCGTATTTGCTGAGAGAGTTAAAACTTTAGGAGGAGAGGGTATTTGTTTTCCATTTAGCAAGTAACTGAGTAGGAGAGAAAGCCAGTGGACAGAGAGAAGCATAGAAATTACAATAAGTAAAGCAGGGTTCCTGCTGCCATGAGTCTGTGTGTCCTGGGGGCAGCACACTTGTAAATGATTGCAGTGCAGGGGAGTATTGTAAAGGCGTATTCATGTTCCTTGGGATCACAGAGGAAGTTGGGGACCATCAGGGACATGGTCAGGTAGCTGGGTTTTAAAGGAAGAATGCCTTGGGCTAAGTGTAGAAGGGCAGCCCCAGGCAGAGGGAACAGCATGGATAAAGGTATGGAATTATGCTCAGGAAAAGACAAGTTTTATGTGACTAAAACTAAGAGTCTATGTTGAGGGGGTGTAGGAGGGGAGGTGTAGGAGGGGAGGCTAGAAATGAAGGAGCAATGAGAGCCTCATATTTTGCAAGTCATGGAGAACTGTTGAAAGATTTTTAGCACAGGTGTAAAATCATCAGAAGAGTATTTAGAGATGAAAATTATGAGGAAGATTGCTTATGAGGGGGAAGGGACTATAGGTAGGAACATTCACATGGAAGGACTTTGTGTGGTGAGGGGCTCAAGCCAGGTTTACTCCAATTCTGAGTGTGGGGCTATGTAGTCATCAGGATCCTACCTTTATTTTTAATTTTAATTTTATTTTTTTTACTTTTTGGCTGTGCTGCATGGTATGCGGGATCTTAGTTCCCTGACCAGGGATCGAACCCTCGCTCCCTGCAGTGGAAGCGTGGAATCTTAACTGCTGGACTGCCTGGGAAGTCCCAGGATCCTGCCTTCAGAGCACACCCAGGGCTTTGTACATGAGAGCAGGTAGAGGGTTGGAGGCATTTGTCATCAACTGAAGAGAAGAAAGGGGAGGAAGGGAGTGTGATGCTCCTTTGATACCTGTGATGGTGATCAGGCTTTGACCCCAACCCAAAATGGAAGAATGGGGTATGTGGGCTCTGAGAACAGGTGCCTCTCGCATCCCAGGCCTCTAATCTTCCTTTCCCCGTTTCCTTAGGCCAAACTGCAGGGGCATGTGGAACCACTGAGGAAGCACTTAGAGGCTGTGCAGAAGATGAAGGCCAAGGAGGAGAGGCGGGTGACAGAGTTGAAGGTGAGTGAATGTCCTTGACAGGGCTCCGTGGTCAGAGCAGGGAAGATGGGCTCTCACAAGGGGTGACTAGATCCGCTGAAGAGGGGCAGCCAAGGCGTGGGAGAGAGGTAGACACCTTCCCAGGGTTGTGAGGAGAGAGGAACCTTAGTGGATCAAGAGGCATGTTTGTTCCTAGGTTCCAAAATGGAGTGAAAAGGGTTTAGCTTGGAGAGGGTTGGTGCCTGGCCCAAGGCTACAGAACAGGTTTACCATCCCAGACACCTAACCCAAGAGCTGCTGCCCCATACTGCTGTGCCCACCACACCAGATAACACAGAGGGCAGAAGAGGGCAAGGCAAAATTCAGATACCAGCTATCAGAGAAGCTCCAGGTTCCAGGATAGATGGCAAATGGTGGGCAAAGCAGCCCTGAGCATGAGGGGAGGAATGTTAGCACTGCAGAGACCTAATATCTTCTAGTCCGGTGTTTCTCAGCCTCTTTTTTTATTATTGCTCACCCCTCCCCAAGGAGTATTTTTAGATATTTTCCCCCTAATTCCCACCCCTTACCTCTGCCTCTTTTTATAAGGCCGGGAGGCACTGGAATAGCCTGGCACTGAGCTTTGGAGACCAAGCCAGGGCATCCTTCCTGTCTGTCCTCTTCCCCCATCCCTCCAATGCCTGCCACCCTGAGAGGGTGGCTGAGCCTTGCCACTTCCCAGGGCCCGTGCTCATTCATTGCCACCTACACATTAGGGACTCTGTTGCTGGCAGTTGCTAGGCACTGAGTGGTGAAATCTGAGTCTGGGAGTTGGGGAGTTATCTTGCTTCTAGCCAGTTGCCCAAGTTGAGACTTTTGGGCTCCTGGAGTGCAAAGGTGTCAGGATCTGAGTTTCACGGGGACAGAGAGTGAAACTATTTCCTTCACCCACTTGGCCAGCCAGGACTTTCCTCCCCACTCTGGCCTGTTACTTTTTTTCCTAAGAATGTCTCCAGCTTATATCTGGGCGAAAAGTGTGCCCATCATCTGGGATTGTCCAGCCCAGGCAGATAGGGTGGGAATGGGCAGAGGTTTTCTCTCATTATATATAGAATTTACCTACATAATAATATCCTTGATTTTGCCTCTTGGCCCATAAAGTGTAAAATATTATCTGACCCTTTACAGAAGAAGTTTGCTGACTCCTGATCTAGAAGGATGGGGTGACTTTCCCAAGGTCATTAGTGGTATATCCAGGACCCTAATTTCATATCTTGATTCCTGAATTTTTTATTCATTTCAAAAACTTCTTACCAGCACCTACTCTGTGGTCGGCACTGTGCCAGGGTCCGAGGACCCTGTGGCAACAGCGCTTACAGAGAAGTGGGTGAAGACAATGTTAAAAGATACTCCACTGTAAATACAACATTTCAAATTGAGATATATGCCATGAGGAGATACAAGGATATTTATGAGGGTGGTCCTGATTTAGATCTGGAAGAGAGATACTTCTCTTAGGAACGTTTAAGCTTAGACCTGAAGAACGAGTCAAGTTAGGTAGCCAGGGTGGAGTTAAGTGTTGCAGGCATTGGTTGGTGAGTTTGGGACCTGTGCCAGGAGCATGGAAGTGGCGCCTGCTAAAGCCAGGAGATGGGGAAGGGGACAGGGCCCTTTTTCCATTCAGAATGTAGGGCTCCTTTGCCTTGGATTGAGGGGCAGCAGTTGCAGAATTGGAGGTTTATGTTTCTGTGTGTTGAGGTGGTATCCACCATCCCCTTTGCATCATCCCAGAGCCAGATGAAGTCAGAGCTGGCAGCTGTGGCCTCAGAATTTGGGCGGCTGACACGGTTTCTGGCCGAAGAGCAGGCAGGGCTAGAGCGGCGCCTCCGAGAGATGCACGAAGCTCAGCTGGGGCGCGCGGGAGCAGCGGCCAGCCGCCTCTCGGAGCAGGCTGCCCAGCTGAGCCGCCTGCTGGCTGAGGCCCAGGAGCGGAGCCAGCAGGGGGGCCTGCGGCTGCTCCAGGTGAGCAATGGCCCCTTCCCTATCCACCCTCCAGAACCCTGTGTCTGCTCTGTCAGGCGGTGCTTACCAAACACCTGTCCAGAGCTGCCTCTCTTCTCACTGGGAGGAACCCACAATGATTTAACCTGAAGACCAAAAGGTTTTTGAGGCTGCAGAGTAGTTGATGCCAAATGTGGTGCGTGTGTTGATTATACGCAATGAAAAGAACGAAGATTCTGTTCGTAGAAGGAGGGTTTTAAGAGTTGAGGAAAGAATTCTTGAGTGACATCCTGAAAAATATAACCAAGTCGTATTGTGAAAATCCTTTTACTGGGGTTGAAAATTCTATTGGGCCCACAGCAGGATGAGTTAAATTAGGCATACTGAGGCATAGGGGTGGTCGAGATGGATGCATGTTTACTGAGGGCCTTGTGTCCTTTTTCTCACTCCCTTGTTCAAGTTCAGTTCTTTCTCTGGCTGGAATCAGATGGGGAGAAGGGAGCCATCCCTGTGCAGCTGACTCTCTCTTTGTCTCTTTCTCCCTCTCCCTCTTTTTGTTTCTGTTATTCTCAGGACATCAAGGAGACTTTCAATAGGTGTGTTCCCACCCTTTATCCTTTGTGACCCAGTGGCATCTGGTTCCCCATCCCTGCCTCTCTTGGATATCCTGCTCCTCTCCTTCCTTCCCCAGGACCCGAGTTTCTGCCTCCTGGACCCTCTCCTTCCCCTCAGCTTCTGCTCTTCCCTCTGGGAATATCATGGTCCCACCCCCTGCCCGGTCCCCTTCCTCCAGGTGTGAAGAGGTACAGCTGCAGCCCCCAGAGGTCTGGTCCCCTGACCCGTGTCAACCCCATAGCCATGACTTCCTGACAGACGCCATCGTGAGGAAAATGAGCCGGATGTTCTGTCAGGCTGCCCGAGGTAGGGAGGTCATCTGTTTGACCTTCCTTTGCCTTTTTCTTCACATACCTGAGATTGGGTTCTGAGGGAAGTTGGGCCCTGGGGGGAATAGTGGGTGCTGAGATGGAGCAGGATACAGGGAGGCCAACTGGGGGGAGCTTCAAGCCAAGAGTAGCTTTTGTCCTAGTCCAGGTAGGTGTTGGGGAATAACAGCTGGGGCCAGAGGGAAACAGATGGTGTTTTGGTGTCCTGGAAACAGAGTGGGGAAAGAGAGAGAGCCCCTAGGAACTTGAGCCTGGACTCTAGGTTGGGGTGGGGAGCTGAGGACAGCTGGATGGTGGGGAGGGAGAGAGGTGAAGGGCAGGGCAGCAGGAAAGGCCAAACCTTGGAGGTAGCTGCTAACGGGGAACAGTCGTTCCAGCCTTGGCGTATTTGTTCTCCCTCCTCCCAAGTGGACCTGACGCTGGACCCTGACACGGCTCACCCGGCCCTGATGCTGTCCCCTGACCGCCGGGGGGTCCGCCTGGCAGAGCGGCGGCAGGAGGTTGCTGACCATTCCAAGCGCTTCTCGGCAGACTGCTGTGTGCTGGGGGCCCAGGGCTTCCGCTCTGGCCGGCACTACTGGGAGGTAGAGGTGGGCGGGCGGCGGGGCTGGGCAGTGGGTGCTGCCCGTGAATCAACCCATCATAAGGAGAAGGTGGGCTCTGGGGGGTCCTCTGTGGGCAGCGGTGATGCCAGCTCCTCCTCTCGCCATCACCACCGCCGCCGCCGTCTCCACCTGCCCCAGCAGCCCCTGCTCCAGCGGGAAGTGTGGTGTGTGGGCACCAATGGCAAACGCTACCAGGCACAGAGCTCAACGGAGCAGACACTGCTGAGCCCAAGTGAGAAACCAAGGCGCTTTGGCGTGTACCTGGACTATGAGGCCGGGCGCCTGGGCTTCTACAATGCAGAGACTCTGGCTCATGTGCACACCTTTTCGGCTGCCTTCCTGGGCGAGCGTGTCTTCCCTTTCTTTCGGGTGCTCTCCAAGGGTACCCGTATCAAGCTCTGCCCTTGATCAACCTGCCACCCGCAGGGGCCCCTCTGGTTAGCACTGGGGGGGCGGGTGGTGGTGGAAAGTAGCCCATAAATTTGGGAGCTCAAAGGCTCCTCTATTTGTTACTGCATTGCTTCCTGCTCCTCCTTGACCCCAGGCCCCTGCTTCGCCCTTAGGAGCCTAATGAACTCCCCTAGCCTCCAGCTCAGTCTTCTCACCTACTGTTTGTCCAACAGTTCTGCATGGGTCCCTGATGAGAAGTTGCCTGGTCTTCTCTCCCTCCCTCTGCCCAGGGATCTGAGTTTTTGAGTAGGGGATGAGGGGAGGTTGTAATCTCATTATAAACTTCCCTTTCCCCATCCCTGTTCAACTCTCATGTCAGTTCTGAGACTGGAGGATTTGGGCAAGACTCATGACAGCCCTCACTTCCAATTCCATTTTCTGATGCAAATTTTAGCTAAGGGATTTGGAAGCTTTTTGGGGGGAAGCAGGCTGGGAAAAGGGTAGACCTGGATAATAAAGTCTACTCTCTGGGGGAAGTACGAAGGATTCTAATTTTTCTTCCATCCCCAATTTCTACCTCCATAGACTGGCCAGAATTTAGCTTCAGTGAGAGATCTGGAATGGTCGACATGATCAAAACTCCATACATCACATCACCCAATAAATGATTCCTCCCCCACTTCCTTTTTTTCAGCACTTAATCTAGGAGCAAAGCTCCTCCCCTCCCCAAACCCTCAGGTCTTTCCACTGCCAGGCTCCTTTCCCTTTTGTTCAGTGGAGTTCCTTTTGTCAGGTTTCCAGCCTCTCTTCTTTGCTTAGTTCCCTCCATTTGGTGAGCCCTGGAGGGGAGCCTGGGGACAGGGATTTGAATCCCTGGGAGGAGAGCCTTGGGCAGAATCTATTTTTCTAGTAACCCTTTGCCTTCTGTCACTTATCAGCTTTTGTCCTCTGCTTTGATGGCTGGGGTCAATTTATGCTCCTGGGGGAAAGGGAAGATGGGTTGTGTTGCGGAAATAAAAAGTTTATTTGCTGCTTTTGTGGAGTCCACTCCTTTAGAAAAGTATAAACTAAGGAGATGCCGCCAAATGGAGGACAGATTAATTGTACCTTCCCTATCAGGTGTGATTCTGTTTCAACAAACTGAGGTATAACTCTTAACCCCCTCCATTTGAATACCCTGCCTAGCCTGTTACTGACAGGCCCCTCAGAATACCGACTTGAAGAACATTTGCCACTTCTTTTCTACCACTGCTACGAGACTTTATACCATACCATGGCCCTCAAGCCCAAGACTCAGACACACTACATCTCCAAAGTCTTTTTATATGTCATTATATCTAGTTGAAGTCCCACTAAATTGAAGTCAAAGAAAAGACTCATTGCCATTATGAGTTGGAGGGTATATGGAAGAGACCTCAATATGCTGCACATGTGTCATTTAGCTGCCACTTGAAGAAAAGCCATCTCTGTGATTATATTTATTAACACCTCCAGACCATCCCACACTATTTAAAATCTTCAATTATGGAAGGAGTGCAAAGGAGTCATTAAGCAGCAGCTCTTCTGGTGAGGTGCCTTGCCTTAAAGCAGGGGTCCCCAACCTCTGGTGAGTGGCGGGCGAGCAAGGAAGCTTTGGTCTGCTGCTCCCCATTGCTCACATTACCGCCCAAACCACCAAACTCTCCCCAAGCCCTGGTCCGTGGAAAAAGTGCCTTCCATGAAACAAGTCCCTGCTGTCAAAAAGGTTGAGGAGCGCTGCCTTAAAGGATTAAAACAAGAAAAGCAAAACCTTTTTAACCAGAGCCCCAATCTGATGCAGACTGCACAAACCTGATGAGTTTCAGGAGGTTTTCAGAGAAGACACTCACTATAAAAGAAAACCAGTTTAATTTTTAAAGCTCTCCCATGTTTTTAGCGGGTGCCAATGGTCACCTGCCACACTCGCACCAGGTTGTCTGTGTAGCCAGCAAACAGAGTCTGCAAGGGAGAAATGACAGGTTAAGTCAGAGCCATGGAATTCTACAGTCCTGCTACTGCAACAAAGATGGCCCTTCTTTTTAATCACCCACTACTATTCATGGGTGATTATGTATTCCTAGAGGAAGCAACAGCTGGCAGTAAGCACTCACAGGTTTGTAAACTGGTCAAGTTAATCAAGGTCTTAATTGAAGACAGGTAACCACTGCCCCATGGACCACAATCTTCCTACTGATGCTGTGTCAGTAAAATAACAGTAAGCCATCATTTTACTTATGTCAAAGACACTGGTTTTATAAATGGCTGACGAGCAGAAAGTGAGAAAGGTTAAAAGCGGAATCACCTGAGGACAGACCCACTTACCTGGCCATCAGCAGACCAGGCCAGAGAGGTACACTGAGGCGGCTCTGCCTTGCTGCTGGTACTGATAACTTCTTGCTTCAGTTCATCTACAATGATTTTGCCCTCCAAGTCCTGGGGAAGGGGTAAAACCAGGGTGAGGACACTCAGCACTTCAATGCCACTCTCAAAAGCGTCTCTGATCTGTAATTGAGTAATTCTCAAAAGAGAATGATTTTTCTGCCCCCTTGGGGACAGCTGGCAATGCCGAGAGGCATTTTTGTTTGCCACTAGTTTGCTGCAGGCATCTTGTGGGAAGTAGAGGCCTGGGAGGCTGTTACACACCCTAAAGTGCACAAGACTGCCTCTTACAACAATGGATTACCCGAAGTGTCAATTGTGCTGAGGTTGAGTAAATTGCTACACTTGGTCATCCTTCTTTTTTAGTAGGCAAAGATCTACCACCACTGCAAATCCCAATCCCAAGAAGTTTTACTCATTCTTCTCAGGTATCCACTGGCAGTGTGATGGTTCAGTTGTTCAGGAAGTTCAAATCCCACCAGTGAGCCAGATGACACATTGGGAAATAACATTGCCGGGGATTGCAGAGCCAGGTATCTGGCCTCAACTGCAGCCCACACTCACCCAGATCTTGATGCTAGGGCCCGTAGCAGCACAGAGCCAATAGCGGTTGGGACTGAAGCACAGGGCATTGATGATGTCCCCACCATCTAGCGTGTAAAGGTGCTTGCCTTCATTGAGGTCCCACAACATGGCCTGGCCATCCTGGGTGGACAAGGCACGAGTCAGGGCATTGCGACTTCTTCCGGATGTTAATCCCACCCACCTTGTCTCAAGATTCTGCCTTAATTCTTAACTGCTTATCATAGTACCCTGACCTCCCAAAAGCCAATTTCTCAAGTATCAACATTTATCTCGGTATGCTTTTCCTTTAATACATGACACCTCACTAACCCTATCAAGAGTCTCTGACAACTTCAAAATGCATCACTATAAGCTCCAAAAACACAGGATCCTAATCTCAGCAGCAGCTTTAAAAATCCAGCTTCACAGAAAAGGATCTCTTTTAAAGAGCATACCATATCTACGTCATTTTCAGAATATTCTTCAGGAACACTTACTCTTAAATTGCTATCTCATTATCTTAGGTTTTCTAAGACACTGTCCCCCAATGAGTAGGAGACTCCTGGCCACTGAATACCTTGCCTCCAGAAGCACAGAGGGATCCATCTGGAGAGACGGTCACAGTGTTCAGGTAGCCTGTGTGGCCAATGTGATTGGTCTTCAGCTTACAGTTTGCCAAGTTCCATACCTGAAATTGTGGGTCATAGGTGAAGAACCTGGCCTGGGGATCCATCAGGGTCAAGAGGGCGCTGCTCAAATAAAAGGTACGGCACCGTGCTTAGAAGTATTCCTGGATAGGACAGCCAATTTCCATTCTATCAGTAGCAAAAAAAGGTCTAAGAATCTGTCTTGGCCACGTTAAGGACAATGAGGATTAAAACTGGGGAGGGAAAAAAAAAAAAAAAGCTTTCTGTGTTGCCATCTTACAAGGGACTCTGGGTTCCCAATTAGCTACTTCAGACCAAATGTCAAAATTTAATGGCCTGTAATGAGAAAATATCAAGAAGAAAATGGTCAGTTGAGGAACAAAGCTTTCAGACTGACCAACTGGGAGGCAGTGGGAACACATTCTGGTTGGCAAAGGCCTTACACCCTGGGTCCAAGCTCACCTTGACCAACTTGTCCCAGCCACAGGAGACAATAATGGGATTGCTGCTGTTGGGCGAGAAGCGGACACAAGACACCCACTCCGAGTGGCTCTCATCCTGCAAAGGATGGAAAGGAAATAAGGAGAAACTGTCTTGTCCCATGAAACTGTAGACCCCCACCCCTCCCCTCAGTTACGTGGGATGTTGACAGTCTTGTATTCATACCTTCAGAATCCAAACCTTTAAGATTGACAGAACCCCTTTAGGTTCCAGATGAGGCTTGAAATCACCATATAAAGGCACCATTAAGAAGGGTGGGAGAAAGTGTTCAACATGTGCTCCCTA